TTTTTTTGGTGACATGTCATCTTCCTTTCTCATCTTCACTTTCTACAAAATCAATCTCGACTCCACCTGCAAAATCAATCTCCACTCCACCTGCAGAATCAATCTTAACCCATTTCTTCTTCTTCTCTAAATGCTCTCTCATCTCCACTCCTCTACAAAACCGATCTTAACCCATTTTTTCTTCTTCTCTTTTCTCAAGAAGAGAACTTGAGAAATTGAACCTAACTACTGGGTTTCATTGAAGCCTCAAACTTCGTAGATCTTATCAAATCAAATTAACCTTTCAATAAACAATATCAATCAAACTCTAATCAAATTCCAACAAAAATACAATCAAATTGTAAATCAACCCTCAAATTTATTAACAACTGAAAATGAAAATCGAAAGAAGAATGAAAAAACATGAATCCAGCATCAAAACAGCAAAGCTGGGTTCATCGAAACCTGGCTGGGTCTCCCCGAACCCAGCATGGCTAGGTCTCCTCAAACCCAGCAAGGCTGGGTTCCAACAAGACCTAGCAAGCTGGGTTCCAACGAGATCCAACAGGCTGGGTTCGTCGCAGCCATCGGATTCCAACCTGGTGAAGACCCAGGGTAGGAAAGAAAGAAAGAAAGAGAAAGAAAGAAAGGGAAGAAGAGGGATTGGGTGGGTGAGGGTAGTTAGGTAATTTTATTTATTTTTATTTAAATTATAAATATTAATCTACGTGTTATTTTTATTTATTTATATAACATAATTAAAATATATATTATTGCCACATCATCCAAAAATTTAAAAGATAATGTCATATAAAATTATTTAACTGTCACATCATACTTAATTGACGGAGGAACCAAAACTATGCAATTTTTAGAGTTGAGGGATAAAAAAATGTAAAAAATTATTAAGAAATTAAAAATGTGCATTTCTTAAGGTTGATGAACTAAATTTAGGATTTAACCTAATAAATTTTCATATTCCCTATCAATACTATCATTACTCGAAGAAATTATCATGGACTGACGGTGATGATGCGGTACAGGAAGATAAAGTGGGACCCTCTCTTAGCGACAGCGGAGGCAATGCATCAATGGACAATAGGATTCCTCTACCCACAACCGCTTTTTTAATAATTAAAAAAATTCATTGAATATACATATTTTTTTGGTACAATTGAATATATTTAATATTTCTTCTGTGAGGATGAGTGAAAAGCTTTCTCCAACCATTAACAATGGTGAAATGCACGACCGACATTACCTTCCACCAAAAGCTTCAAGACAGATGGTAGCGCAGACTTCCCAATAAAGAGAGAGAGAGAGGGGAGACAAGAGGAAGGAAGTTGTGGAAGATTGTTTGATAAATAAAGTTAAACTCTCTGTTTTCTCTCTCTCTCTCTGGGGAAACTACAGGGAGGAGAGAGAATGGAAGGGAGAGTGCAGAGGGTCCAAGTATATGGGTTTGCAAGATTGATCTCTTGTTGTGCCTGAAGGTTGAAGCTTTTGTTGTGGAGAAACAGGTTCCACGGGAAAGGTGGGTGCGCCTGTAGTGATCTGTAAGTTTATGAAATGCATTTACTCTGTTGGGTCTTTTCTTTTGGAATCTGAGAAAATGCACAGGAATATGTTGTGTTGTAGCATGTCTCTTTTTGTGACTTAGATCTGACTTTGAGTTTCTTGAGTTGGGTTTTGGGTTAATAATGTTTTCTCGTGGATTTAGTTGATGGGTTTTGCTTGATTTGTTGGATTTCTTAAGGTATTATCAGTTCATGGAATCAAGTGTCTTATTTGGTGATAGAATTGAGTTTTCTTTGCTATAATGTACCTGTAACTTTGTTGAATGTTTGATTTTGAAGAAACAGGCAGCTTCTTTTGTTTCTATTGTCTGAAAGTCAGGGCATTGTTGGATCTTTTCTTTATAATCTCCAGCTATATGCTGTGGAACAGGATGAATTAGAGAAAGTGAGTTCTATAAAGAAGATTGATCTGGCCTGCAGCTAGAGCCTTCAATTTGCAACTTAGATTTTAATCCCTTTCCTGTCAAGGCAAAGCGTTTAATTTACTGAAGAAATTGCCACATGTTATGCCTTCTAAATGATTCAGACTACATTTTTTCTTTTCTTTTCTTGTTCTTTAAAAGGCAACATTTTTCTTATTAATGGAGACTAAGAGTTCTTTGTTAGGTAACTTGAATTCTGATTGAACTAAACTCATCTTATTATGTTAATTAATTATTGCAGCAAGTTAGATATGGGATCTCTGGCATTTGACACCGAGAGCTTAGATTCAGATATGTACCTTACTCTGGGGCTTAAGGAATCAGGCAAAGGAGTTTTTGGAACTCCACAGATTTTATCAATTCTTTCTTCACTCCTTGAGAAGTCTATTCAGAAAAATGAGATAATGCAGGTTAAAGACACTGTTACAGTCTTTCATGGTCTGAGAGCACCCACCATAAGTGTTCAGAAATATATTGATAGGATATTCAAGTATGCAGGCTGCAGCCCCTCCTGCTTTGTTATTGCATATATCTACGTGGATAGATTCCTTCAGAAAAAGGATATCCATTTAACTTCACTTAATGTCCATCGGCTTCTTATAACAAGTGTTATGGTGGCTGCAAAATTTACTGATGATGCGTAAGTGCATATCCTTAGATTCATCTGTGCATTTGATCTATTTTTATGCTTTTCAAGTTTTAAACATTTGTTCTTGTGTATGACATTGATTGCAACATAGAATTCCAGGCTGGAATTGTTTAATTTTGATCTAAATATTTTATACCCCTTTACCTTTTATTATTTTCTGGGAGCTGGGGTGGAAGAAGAACAGGAAGGAGAAAGAGGAGAAGGAGAAGCAAGCGTAATATGTTGTGTGCTTACTGTTACTTACAAAAAATGTTGATCTTAAAAGACCTTTTAAACTAGTTTTAGATGATAATGAACTAGTTTGATTATGTCTATGGATAATCCTCATAAATCTATATGAAGGAGTTGATTGGAAGGAAATTTAGGTCATCTTTATGTTTCATCTGGCTTGACATCACATGTTTGCTTTGTAAAGCACTGAAACTTAATCATACTTTGTTTGGCAGATTTTTCAACAATGCTTACTATGCAAGGGTCGGAGGAATAAGCACTGCTGAGTTGAACAGGTTGGAGATGAAGTTTTTGTTTAGTTTAGATTTCAGACTCCAAGTAAGTGTCAAGACATTTGAAATATGCTGTACTCAGCTGCAAAAAGAAGCTACTGAAGGGCGTCAAATTGAACGCCCTATTAAGGCCTGTGGAATGAAAGAGAGCTGGTCAAACAAGGGGGATACTACTACAGCATGTGCTCCAACCAGCGCAAGATGATGATACTCAAATCATCTCAATGTTTCATTATAACTCGAGTTTTACTTGAATGCAGAAGAGTTAGATTTTTTTAGAAAGTTAAATGTTGATACCAACTGTAGTTTAGTGTGTGATGATTGCAATATTGCTTGCACCCACAATTTGTTTTTCCTTCATTGCTCGGTATAGGTTTTTAGGGTTTACTTTTGTTCATGTTTCCATTGTGGTTTCCTTTAAGGCCTTCACACCTTCCATTGTGCAAAAGCATGTATGTTACATGAAGGGACTTCATCTACTGCTTGTCTTTTCAACTTCAGTTTTCTTGTCATACATTCCGTTTTCTATCATAAATAATTTTTCAGTTTTAACAATCATTTGAAATCTCTACGTAATTCATTGACTTACGTGTTCTGCGGTGAATTTCCTATAGTTGGATGCATGATCTTCATTGTTTAGGTCGTGTTTGGTTTTATAGGCCCCTTAAATTCACTTTTATCAATTTGTTTTAATATGTGAGAACAAAATGATGATATTAGTTAAACCAAACAAGACTTCTTTTATGCTTTATGATTTGGGATCTTTGAATTTTTTTTTTTTTTTTACCTTTTCTATGTTATAAGTTAGAATTTCAAGGAAAGAACTAATCAAGCACACCCAATGGAGGAAAGGTGACATTATTGGAGTATATAAACATGTGAATGGAGTTGAGTGGAGTAATTGACAATAATCTTACATTAATGAAAAATATGGTATTAGAGTAGAATATATAAGTAGAAGAATCATTAACTTAATAAACATGTCTTTTGAGTTCAATACGATCGTTCCTTCAATATATTCATATTCTCACATTTGTACACTCTTAAACTGGCTTATTAAACATGTTCAATAAAAACTGTTGATCTAATCATAATAACCTTTGTAAAAGTGTTGAGAGTAGTTTTTCTTTTGCAAAAGTGTTCAATTATGAATTGATAAAAATAATCAATTTAACGTAAAACCTCCATTCTAGAATTTATAGAGGCTTTCGATCAAAAAAAAATTAATAACTTCTAGAAAAGCTAGAAGCATTTTTTAGAAGATAGACTAAATTAACTTTAGCTTTTACTGTAGAGAAACTTTTAAAGGCTGAGGGCAAGTATCCACTTTATCTTTGTCATTGGAAATCTTGTGACGTAAGGGATTAAATTGAATAAATAATATACCAATTATGGAGTTCACATCCGTTTGATCTAAGATTGTTTCCTCGATTTTGATTCTAATCACCAAAACTGTAATCTATATCAAGATAAGCCCCTGAGGCCCTGACCTCTCTCCAACTTGACCACTTGGAAGTATAAAGGCATGTACAATGATATATATATATACATATATAAAAGGTTTTTAAAAAATAAGTATTGATGTTT